GGAGGTATTCAGAGTTGAAATTTGGGACTGGGCAGGCACAGTGGCCTACGCCTATAATCCCAGCACTTTGGAAGGCCGAGGCAGGTGGAGCACCTGAGGTCAGGCATTTGAGACCAGCCTGGTCAACCTGGTGAAACCCCATCTCTACTAAAAATACAAAAATGAGCCTGGTGTGGTGGCACATGCCTGTAATCCCAGCTACTTTGGAGGCTGAGACAAGAGAATTGCTTGAACCCGGGAGGTGGAGGTTGCAGTGAACTGAGATCATGCCGCTGCACTCCAGCCTGGGCAACATAGCAAGACAGTCTCAAAAACAAAATGGCTGAAATTTTGGTCCCTGATTCCTCAAACAATTTGGATCTCAATAATATAACAGGAGCAGCACTGCCAAGCTCCACAGCTTTGCAAAACACCCAGCGTCATCTCTATCTTAAAAGTGTTGGAAAAGCAAAGAGACAATTACTGTGAAGTTTAAAAGAAGAGATTTAATAAACCAGGTGTTCATCAGCAGATGAATGGATAAGACAAAATGTGGTATATATACACAGTAAAATACTATTTGACCATTAAAAAGAACTAAATCCTGTCATTTGCAGCAACAAAGATAGAACTGGAGGTCATTATGTTAAGTGAAATAAACCTGGCACAGAAAGACAAAAACTGATGTGCTCTCACTTATATGTAGAGGAGCTAAAAAGGTGGATCTGACATTGGTAGAGAGTAGAATGATAGTTACCATTGGCTGGGATGGGTGTGGTGGGGGCGGGGGATGAACAGAGGTTGGATAGTGAGTACAAAGATACAATTTGATAGAAGAAATGGGTTCTAGTGTTTGCACAATAAGGAGACCATAGTTAACAACAGTATATTGCACATTTCCAAATAGCTGGAAGATCTGAAATATTTCCAACACAAAGAAGTGATGGATGTTCGGGGTGACTGATGTGCTAAACACCGGGACTTCATCATTACAGATGTCATAAACGTACTGAAATAGCATATGTTCTCCATATGCATATGGAGTCAAAAATAATGTATCAATTTAGAGAAAAAATTTAAGAGTTTTAAAATATTGGATTTTTTTAAAGAAAGACATAGAGGCAGCCCCTGTATCTGTTCATCCCAATGCATTCCTTCAAAATGTTTTCCTTATACAAGTAAAATATACTTGTATAAATATACTAAGAAAAAAAAGCTATTTTTCTTGCCACTAGGTGGCAATATTCTCCAGTAATTTACACAAAAAATAGAAGATTCAGCAAGTTTAAAAAGGGGGAAAAGTCTAAAGCCTAAGTTTCAAAGAGGGAAAGAGACAGGAATGTTTTATATCTAAAAGTAGGTGAGTGAAATACGTAAATTATTAAAGGCAAAACTCAGGATTTACAAAAAGTATATATTTTTCTATTGAACACAATAGAAAGCCCTTGCTAACCAGTATGGTTCTCTGAGCAGCAATATCAGTACCTGCGAGCTTGTTACTAATGCAGCAACTTAGGGCCCACCCCGACTTACTGAAGCAGAGTCTGTATTGTAACAGGATTCCCAACTGAATCATAAGCACGTTAGATTCCACTATATTACTCCTCTGTTCAAAAGCCAAAGATTATTTTTTAAAACATACATATATATACATATGTATGTATACCTATGGATAAGTATATATGTATATGATATACTTATCTATAGGTAAACATATATATGCATAGTATATGTATACACATATATAGTATACATATACTGTATAGTATATATATACACTATATATATACTATATGTATATACTATGTGTATAGTATATATACACACTATATAATGTTACATATATAATATATACTATATATATTATATTATATACTATATACTATATATAGTATATTATATACTATATATATTATATTATATACTATATACTATATATAGTATATTATATACTATATACTATATATATTTATATATATATTAGTAAATATATAAACTATATATACATTATATAGTGTGTGTGTGTATGTATGTATGTATGTATGTATATATATATATAAATAAAGAGAGAGCGAGGGAGATCGAGTCTCATGCTGTCACCTGGGTTGGAGTGCAATGGCAGGATCTTGACTCACTGCAACCTCCATCTTCTGGGTTTCAGAAATTCTCCTGCTTCAGCCTCCTGAGTACAAGTGCCCACCACCAAGCCCAGCTAATTTTTTTAGTACAGACAGGGTCTCACTATGTTGGCCAGACTGGTCTCAAACTCCTAACATCATGATCTGCCTGCCTCAGCCTCCCAAAGTGCTAGGGGATTACAGGCATGAGCCACCATGCCTGGCAAAACTAAAATATTTTAAACAGGAAAAAAAAAAAAAACTAGTTTCCATTGCATAAATCCAAAGTCTTTGACCTTAAATATCCTGTTTTTTGAAGACGTGATTCCATAGGATCATTTTAATCTTTATGTAATCATATTTCCAATAATTTAATATGCATGCACCACTCATCATATTGTCCTCACAATGAATAATCAGCATCATGGCATCTGTTTTTCTAATCATATTATACAATTATTTAACTATGTGCCATGTTCTAGAAATCACAGATTCAATGGTGGAACTATATCCTAACAGTGAAGATGCACATAAAGCCGTTATGCTGCAGTTCATATCATGCAAGTGTGTACCAGGGGCTATCGGGGCATAGTGGACGGGATGATTGATCTTGAGAAATGGTTCAGAAAGGCTCTACTGAGTCTTGAAGGATGAACAGGAATCTGCCACAGTAAAGAACGGGAAAAGGACAGTCCCTCCAGTCTTCTCTCCTCTGCGTAACTAAGTAGTGCCCATCTTTGTTTTCAGCCATGTCCATGACACCACTTCCTTATCACTCCCAAGTCACCGCTTACTTCTGAAATTCCATTAACACTTGCACTATGAACCACTCAATTTAGAAGTCACATGCAATTAATGTTGCTTACATTATTTTCCATTTGTTCCTTTGTTGTCATTAACAAACAAGATGTCTTTAGAAAATTCATTTTAAGCTTCCTTTACTTCTTTTCTATTTAGTGAAATAGGAAGCAATATTAGATAATCTCTGAAGTCCCTGTCATTAATAATTTATACAGAGACTGAAATAGGAAGGCTATGACTTAACTGGATCATCCACTCCTTAAAGAAATAGATAACTGGCCAGTCACAGTGGCTCACACCTGTAATCCCAGCCCTTTGGGAGTCTGAAACTGGCTGATCATGAGGTCAGGAGTTCGAGACTAGCCTAGGCAACATGGTGAAACCTCGTCTCTACTATTATACAATAGTATAAATATACAAAAAATCAGCTGAGTATGGCCGTGTATGCCTATAGTCCCAGCTACTCAGGAGGTCGAGGCAGGAAAATTGCTTGAACCCAGGAGGCGGAGGTTGCAGTGATCTAAGATCATGCCACTTCACTCCAGCCTGGGCAGCAGAGCAAGACTCCATCTCCAAAAAAAAAGAAAGAAAAGAAAAGAAACAGATAACTTACAAGCTCTATGTTATGTGCCCTATGAAAGAGAGCTTATAATAATTGAATACATGCATTTTATATGTGGATTGTTATGATAAAATATACTTGAAACTAATTAATATGTGATGCTCAGGTGGCCAAAATCATAGAACCAATTACATTTCCATGTTCCATGGTTTCCAACTGTATCTCTAACCTTTGATAGACCATAGGGATACTAGTCCAAGAGAGTGGGTATGGTTCAGGGAAAATCGAACTTCATTTCAACAGTTAGTAATAAGGACATCATCTTGGACCATTGGATCAATCCTAATTATACAACTTCCCTTGCTTATATGGGATGACTAAAGGGTTTCAAATCTCCAGTTGTTTATCTTAAAACTTGCAGGAATCTTGTCTCAAAATGTAAAACACATACTTAGTGGATAAGGAAAATATTTTCTCATCTCTACTCAGAAGAAAATAACAGAAAATTAAAGCCGATAGAAAAGTATTGATAAGAAGCCTCAGAGAGTAAGAAGAGAATTGGATGAAGTGACAAAGACCAGAAATCAAGAACAAATTCTGTCCTTTAAAGAGCAGTGCCACTTTAGGCATGCCTTTAGACTTGATTTTTCTAAGTCTACTTCTTTATTCTCAAACGATATAACTATCTGTACTATTGGATTTGGGCTAGGACCAAATGAAACCTGAAGAATTGGGTTTTGTTGTTGTTATTGTTGTTGTTGTTTTGAGACGGAGTTTCGTTCGCTCTTGTTACCCAGGCTGGAGTGCAATGGCGCGATCTCGGCTCACCGCAACCTCCGCCTCCTGGGTTCAGGCAATTCTCCTGCCTCAGTCTCCCGAGTAGCTGGGATTACAGGCATGTGCCACCATGCCCAGCTAATTTTTTGTATTTTTAGTAGAGACGGGGTTTCACCATGTTGACCAGGATGGTCTCGATCTCTTGACCTCGTGATCCACCCGCCTCGGCCTCCCAAAGTGCTGGGATTACAGGCTTGAGCCACCGCGCCCAGCCTGAACTGGGTATTTTCTATAGTGTTGGTGGTATTTGAGCTAATAATTATCATGACTCATGAATCATCCTTTTTCTTCTCTGAGGATAGGGACGAAAGTGATTATATCTAAATTGCAATCTAAAGAATAAAAATAAGTTGGTAAAGGGCCTCCTAACTACGGGAATTGAGGAATCCTGAAACATATGAACTAAGAGAAATTCTGGAATAGCCTTTCTTGAAAATCTGTAAGGAGAAAGTCAGTAGTTAGGTTTCTTAAGCGCCTCTGTTATAGTCTTACATGGGAGCAGACAGGTAAATTATAGAACATCTAGGTGTTACCTAGCAGTGTCACGTGTAAGGCTATCAGAGAAACAATAAACTTGATCCCGGGGAAACTGGGTGTCTTCCAAAGCTTGGGATCCTAGTGGTACTATTTTAATTGGCATTGAGAGTTGTGTCTTCAAGAAATTATCAAAACTGATAAGTTAAAAATCATGAAAAATTACTCACCTGGTTGCCTCCACTCTTGGGATTCACAAATACAAGCAAGGGTTTCATGAGAGGAGAAGAGATGGGTTTTATCACAAAAGGACGACCTTTGTTCTCCTGCTGAAAGAGGCAATCAGTACTGTTAGGATAAAGGGAGTGGAAAACCACCACCACCACAACCACCCCAATAAACCCTACATGCTGTTTCACATGGAAGGGCTGACAACACAACTTCCATGTCAGGCTCGGAAGAAAATATCTCAAGCTATCATTAGCTCCAGAGAATTAAGCCAGGCTTTCTATTTTACTCTGTAAACTCCAAATATTCCAGAAATATCAGCTTTCATCTTCATCATCAGCATCCTGGGGATGACATTTCCAGGCAAATGCAGAGGTTGGTTTTGTGTGTGTGCTTTTTAAGAGAACAGGAAGAATTCTATTGTAGACTGCAGTGAGGAGAAAGCAGTGGTAGAAGACGGAGCAGAAAAATCAGCTTGGACCAGATCTCACAGGACAAAGGAGGCTATGAAAGAACGTGGAAATTCCTCAGAATATAACTCTGACACACTCACTTCCATCCCTCTTTTACTGGCTTTTCTTTTAAAACTTGTTCTCTTCTTCTTTCGATTTGAAGCCTTCAGGGAGTTCTGCAGGGAAAGAGAGAAACACCTGAGCTCAGAGGCAGCCAGCCCGGGAGCTTTCCCATGCAGAACCGAGTAGAAGATGACGGCAGCGCATGCTGTTCCACTGCATGCTTCTCATGCTTTCACACTTCCAAGCCACTGTTCATGGGTAAGCCACAGACAGAAATCAGTCGAGTGCTTTAGAGTAAGCGAGACTCTCCACCACATGGAGAGGCAGGGAGTAAGAACCCCAGAGGCTCTCATGGACTCACATAACAACACATGTTATACCTGCCAACCCTCCCAGTAAAAATGGAAGAATCCCAAATTCTCTGAGGGGCTCCAGTCTCCCGCCCAACCAGGTTCGTCTCCCGCCCAACCAAGTTCAAGTTCATCTCCTGGTATGGAGATCACCTATGTGGAAATGTAAAAAAGGAGGCCATTTTTCATGTTTTTATTTTTCTTTCTTGTTCTTTTTTTTTTTCCTCTCAGTTTACTCTTTTGGTAATGATCTGTTCTAGTAATAGCCGTAAAATGATTCTTGACCCTAATGGAAATTTACGACCCAACTGTCCTATCAGCATTGATGTCTGATTTGTAAAATGCAAAGATAATACTCACCTTCAATCACTATGACAGTGAGGTAGAAGTCATTGTTCTTTCTTTCTCTAAAGACCTAATGGTTTAAAAAGTTTTCCCTCCCCTGGTAGCCTTGATTTTTTTTTCTTCTCATAAAAGTGCCTCGAACTTGTTGAAATACAGTGATCACCCCCCACATACAATTGACTTTCCTATCTTTCTCTTTCTAGCAATTGTATAAACCATAATATTGTGATTACTTCAACTAACCATTTGCTCTTAATATTTGATACAGATGCTTTGAGAAGAGCCTGTCATAGGGATCAGTCACAACCCACTGATTAAACACAAGATAAAAACAGATTTAATTAGTAGAGAGTCAATGATTAATTAGACTGCTATCTTTAAAAAGCAAGATATTACTGACCACATGATAGATGTTTAACAAAGTGTTGACAGCAAGAAATGCAGAATTCATAAAAGTTTATATAAGCATATATGCATGCATTGTTTGAGTAAAATTGTCAAACAGCTTGAAGAAATGTAAATGTCTATTCTTCTACCTTTTAATGTATTCTTTTTTCTTTGAGCATTCAAAATAATCTTTAGTATAAAATACATATCTTAAGGCATCCAAATTAGTAAGCCTCTAACCATTTAGCTTTTATTTTGCTTTGACTTGGATTTGGAAAAAAAAAAAAAAAAGTTGATTTATGACCTGTGTTCACCAGGGATGAGGGAAATTTTCAAGAACTACCGTCTGTCCCAAGGTCTTCTTTTCCCGTTAGATTAAAAGATTTCAGAATCTCAAAGTCACACCAGGAAAAGAGAGATCCAGGAGCTCATGGGTGCTCTAGACCCCAGGTCATTCCTTATTACTCACTGTTGACTATACTTCCCCCTGAAAACAGACCTTCAAGTTTCTGAATTCCCAGTTAAATGGGTCTTTTATCATGTCCCTCAATGCAGAACATTTTGCATTATGAAAGCATTTGCTGTATTTTAATAGATTTCTGTTTTAAACTGTTTAAAAGGGAAGAAAAATGATTTGGAATTATCAATTGTTTAATCAGCCAAATGATCTTAGAAGAATGCTGGAAATCATAAGGCTGGCAGGAGCAGGATGTATTGGGGTCAATTAACGATGCTCTAAATGGTTCTCAACTATCAGTGCACACCAGCATCACCCAGAGAGCTTTGAAAAATGTTCATGCCTGGGCCCCATCGACTATTCTTTTTTCATCTGTTTGGGGTAAAACCCAGGCAAGGATGCTTTTAAAAAGTTCTCCAGGCAATTCTATCATGGAGTGATGGCAGGAGAAAGAGGAAGTGAGGAGACACATAACTATGCTAAGCAGAAGACAAACAGAGACAGGAATACACATCTAGTATGGACTCTGACTCTCCGTTATGAGATCAGTGAACTTGGCCAAGGCAAACTTTTGAAAATAGCAGTTTCTTAATTTTAAAATGATTGTGACAATACCCACCTCACAGGACAGTTGTGAAGTTATAACCAGAAAAGGTATGTGAAGCAGTTAGCTTGGTATCCATCCCACCATAAGCACTTCAGTACGTTAGTTCGTTTTAAATAATGCCTCATTCTCAGCCGTGTGTCCCCAAATGCCTGGTACACGGTGTGCACTCAAATCATTGTTGAAATAATGAATAAATATAATATAATTCACAGCACTTACTGAGCCTCTCCTGATATGGGAAAGGATCCTTGGGAAGTGAATGCTTGCATCCTAACTTATTTGTAGTTTCAGTTCATTTAGTACCGGGAGCAATGCCGGATACCAGGTGCTTACAGGAACATGCCATGGGCCTGGGTCCCTGACAGGACTCAGCAATTAAACTCCAAGACACAGATCTAACACATCAGGCTAAGAATTGTTTCCTAAACTTGTCTGATCATAGAACTCACAGTATTTCAGGTGATTTTGATGATTAAGCACATATGGGGAGCACAGTTAGAAAAACACATTAAAGTAAGGCTTGATGTCTGAAAACAGAGCAGGCAAAGAACTTAATTTTTATAGGAAACAGACACACAAAACAGGCTTGCTTTTTTTTTTTTTTTTTTAACACAGAGGTAACAAATACAAGTGTTTCTGAGCCTCACCAAACCAAATGCATCTGAGGCTTTCTTCACTTTACAGAACAAGAACAGGGCAGAGACCAAACACACTGGTTGACTTACAGTACCTGGGCGCATCTATGTGAGCTCTGAGTAAGCTTACAGCCCTATGGATAGTCAAACACAAAAGATAAATAGGAGGAATTTCACAGCACACCTCAAAATCCCAAGGCTTCCTTCTAGTTTTGTAGAAATATGTATCCCTAAGTATATACCTTCATTTAGAAGGTACCACGATTGAGTGAGGAACGGATGGGCTTGAAGGCAGATTTTTGGATATGTTTTGACCATGACTAAATCACCTACTCTTGATAATCTACAGGACAGCTTATCCTGCCTGGGTCAGTATTGTTGAGAGAGTTCAACACAATGGCACGCTTTGTGAGAATGTTAAAATTACATCAAGAAGTGACTGTGTAGAATTGTTGGTGATATATTCAAGAAACCTTTAACACTCATCTTATGTTCGAAAACAAAACATCTCCATTATATCAAGGGCAACTAACTCAGTGACACAAAGTGTTCACTTTGCAAGATCAACACTAAAAACACAGAGAAGTGCTGTACCCTCATTTGGATTTTTGCATTCTTCTGATTCCAAGAGCAGTCGCCCTGCTCTAGACATTCTGTGCCTGCTCTTCTGTTAAAGACCTGAAGAAAAAGGCTTTTGGTTTTCCTGTACTTCATACCAGGATAATTTTACCTTGCCACAGAAATGATCCTATCAATAAAATCCTGATCATACTTATGACTCCTTCCTGGGCTATTAAGAAATACTTAACGGGTAAATCACTCAACTGTGACTGAAACTTAACTGCCTCTTATTAGTCTTCAGGGACTTTTCCAGGTTATAAGATCACAAATGACTGGTTATAATAATGGATCTCAAGAGAAGAGATCTGTTATCTCTTCTTTGTCATCCCAAATAAAGTCTTCCCCACATCATATTCTGGACAAAACTCTGGTAGACAGTCGGAGAGAAGAGTCACGGACATAGTCTGTGAAAGAGCATTCTCACTCTGCTGTGCTCCCATTGTGCCACAGAACAGAGGCTGCTCTGAGGATGGGCAGGCAGGAGGACAAAGAAAACTTATTCTGAAAGTTACAGACAGGGTCCCAGCAGCTCCAACTAGACCTATTTGACTAAATCACAAATAGTAATGAAGCTTGAGAATTCACCAAAGGAAATGGTTTGGGCAATTTGGAGGCTAATTTACAGGATATTATTGGTCATTGCACACGATTAGCTATTACATTTCATGAGTTCCCAGCATTTTAAGAAGATTATCCAACCAGAAGAGATAAACAGAAAAAGGAACTATTATAAGGAAAGCTCGTACAGAGCTAGGAAGGAATGAATGCAGCATTATTTATAAGAAGAACATTAGAAACAATTCCACCAGTAGACAGATGGACCAATAAACTGGGCTATATCCACAGCATGGAATATATACAGCAGCTTTAAAAATCAGTCTGCATATAGTAATATAGACTTTTCCCCAAGAATTTGTTTTTGTTTTTTGTTGTGAGACAGAGTTTCACTCTTGTTACCCAGGTTGGAGTGCAATGGCGCTATCTTGACTCACCGCAACCTCCGCCTCCTTGGGTTCAAGCAATTCTCCTGCCTCAGCCTTCTGAATGGCTGGGACTACAGGCGCGTACTACCATGCCCAGCTAATTTTTGTATTTTTAGTAGAGACGGGGTTTCACCATGTTAACCAGGACGGTCTCAATCTCTTGACCTCGTGATCCACCCGCCCTAGCCTCCCAAAGTGCTGGGATTATAGGCATGAGCCACCATGCCCAGCCCCCAAGAATCTGTTTTTTACTAAAAAAGGCCAGTTGTAAAGCATTATGTGAAGAGTGATGTCATTTATTAAAAACGCATACCCTTACACTCAAACTGGTTCTGTGTCTTTTCTGTGGGTGCATTTCCATGCATGTAAATGTGCAGTAAAAACTCAGCATATATCACAGAAAGAGACAGGGGAGATACTTATCATTTTAAATGTTGGTGAAAGGCGACTGACTCTCTTATCTGAAATGTTGAATTTTTACAGGGAGCATATTATGTATTACTCATGTTACTACAAACTAAACAATAAATGATTGAGCACTGTCATTCTTTCAATAAAAACCAGCTTGTTCTACTCAGTACTATGAAGTTACAATGGGCTACACTGAGGAAAAAGAATGGAGGATCCATTTCATATTCTGTTTAGAAGACAGGAGAAGTCCAATGAGATTAGTGAGAAAGTTGTAAGAAAGTGACAATTTGGAAAATTTAGGGGATCAAGTACAAAATATTTTTTCTAATGGTGTCATCTCATGGTACATGAGTTCTGTGAAAGCCTTCTCAACTGTGGTCTTCTACGACGTGACCCCATAGAAAATTCACGTAAGTCTCACTCCATCAGCTCCGAGTGTGTGCACTGGTATCTGAACATCTTTAAGTTGCCTGTCCAATCAAAATATCGTCAGTAATATTTCCAGTCCAAAAGAGAATCACTGATATCTGCAACTTTAAATAACTTGGACTTCAAATATATCAACTTGATTCTTAAAATTGGGGGGTTTTTTAAATTTAAATTATTTAAAATCATCTGCCTTCCATTGTCTTTTCATTTCTATAAAATAACTTCTTCATCTCTCTAAATAATGAGGTGATGAAACCCAGCAATTCACCCAAGCGGCCCTCACCCACGTTAGCATCAAGGTTTCACACAGCTACCAATTCCACAGTTGCTCATGGAGTAAAAATGAAATATGTGGTTTAATTCCAACTCTTTATAAACCATGTCTCCCGACCGTAATACACTCGAATAGATTTCCTTTACTCCTCCTCTCTAGAGTCATTTGTTTAGAGGCAAATATCGCAAATAAGGCTGACTTTATTTAAAGTTTTATCTTAACTGTTCTCAGTAAGTTCTAGCTGCTTTTTTTTTTTTTAAGATGGAGTCTCACTCTGTCACTCAGGCTGGAGTGCAGTGGCACAATCTCAGCTTCCTGTAACCTCCACCTGCTGGGTTCAAGCAATTCTCCTGCCTTAGCCTCCTGAGTAGCTGGGACTACAGGCACGTGCCACCAGGCCCAGCTAATTTTTTTGTATTTTTATTAGAGACAGGGTTTCACTGTATTAGCCAGAATGATCTTGATCTCCTGACCTCGTAATCCACCAGTCTCAGCTTCCCAAAGTGCTATGATTACAGCCTTTCTGTCCTTTTCAGCCTTTTTTTCACTGACTCAGCCTACATCCTGTAAGGCCAACCACAAATGGCATATTTTCCATTTAACCTACCCTGATACCCACGACTGAAACTGCTCAATCCTGCTTCATATTCACACTGTGTTTATACATCTTAGGTAGCACTGACCACTCTCCACCTCAGATAGATGGGCCACCTTGGATGCTGACAATGGCTGATTCAACCAACCTGTCTGGTCCCTTCCTCTCAGGATCCTATGTGTTTCTCCCAAAGATGCACACTGACGAAAAATTAAACCTTCTGAGAGAGGAGGCACTCTTTCATTAGGGATTTACATATGGCTGAATTCCCCTTTCAAAGCCCACAGACACTGCCCAGTGACTGAGATAGTTCTAGCCATATTCCCACTACTGAGTATACTCTTTGTGGAAATGGATCAGGTCTGATTCATCTTTGGACCTCTTACTGCAAACGACTGCATTTCTGAATGTGGTTAAATAAACATTAACATTAATAAATAGTAGAGAATATCTTCTCTACTATTTATTTTTGAAGCAGTACAATGGAGTATAGAAACATGTACATATATATGTGTATATACACATATATGAATCCTCAAATTTGGAAAATCATTTTACTTTGCTATGTTCCACCTACCTTCCAAATTCTCCATTTGTTAGTTACTTCCCAATGTCTTAAATGAATTCTCTAATATATCTACCTCCAAGTCATGGCTAATAACTTGCCATTCATTATCTACATACTATAAACTATAGTTTTTACTGTCATCTATGATCAGATCACAGACACAATGACTTTTCTCCTTGTTTTCTTCCTTTTTTTTATAGCTATAGAATTTAACACTGGTGTCAGAAGAGTTTCAACAGAAGAGTTTAATTGTTCAATATTACACAAATTAGTAAAGTGGCTACAGAAAGGTTATTATGGGCCCAGGTAGTATTGGCTCAAAAGTCAGAAAGCTCTTGACCACTGCTGCATTGTCGCCACAAGCTCAGCATACACCAGCTTTTAAACAGACTGTGGCTTGTTGGCTAACTTACTTGATGGTTTTGAAGCCCACATGAGGGAAGACTACTAAAATTTTTAAAACATCGGATTTGCCAAGGTTGGCTACCAAAAGACTGGGAGACAGTGTGGCATACCAATAGAAGCTTGCTTTTCAGAATCAAAATGCCTGGGTGCAAGTCCCATCTCAACTATTTAATAACTATATGACTGTGGGTAATTTATTTGATTTCTCTGTGCCTCACAATCCTCAGTTATAGAGTGAGCATAACCGGATACCTGCTCACAGGGTACTATGATGATAAAATAAGGAACTGAAGTAAAATACGGAAAATTTCCCTCACACATATAAATGTTAGCTCTCCTTACTATTATTATTATTAAATTGTCCTGAATCATAGATGGCAATAAAAAGGTACATGTTGAATAATGAATTTGGACTTTGCATCTAGACTCTGAGCTATAAATCCCATATCCCACTAAAAGTGACCAAGACTCTAGAGAAAGGCTGATTCCAGGTATGGACAGGAAATACATTAAATGATCCTGGGACATGGTACTATTCCTAAAATCAAGGAAGCTCTCAAAACCTCATGGCTCATAACAAATGGAGACAGAGACCACGTGGAAGAGGTTACAACTGTTTGGAGGTGAAACAATATGAACATAAGAAGAAGAATGATGACAATGTATTGAGAAACTCATAATACATAAAAACACAATTAAATAATTTCATAATGATACTCTCCAAGGAAAGCATTACTACAACCTATAAAGGTTGCTACGGCATCTGCTTATCATTCTAAAAATTTACAAATAAAGGCAAATTCTCAAACATGTGTCATGTATTTGTTGGGATGAAGGAAAGGTCTCTTTTGGAAAAATCATAGCTAGAAAGAGTAAAACTTGGAAAGTGACTCTTTGGCAACCCCTAATGCAATAATAGACTTCGGCAAAAAACCTTTGATAGATAACAAAAGATGAGAAGCGGATGGTGAACTTGATGACAGATGGAATGGGATGACAGTTCCTGAACCCACTGACGGATCTTAGCATCACTGAGAGTGAAATGGCTGATACCCTCTTCCTGTGATGGCAATAGTATAGAATGACACAGCACCGCCAGTAATTACACAGCACCTTTTACAAAAAAAAAAAAAAAAAAAAAAAACCAAAAAAAATGAAACCTAAATATGAGTCTTTGTGTCTAAATATTAGTTTACAAAAAATATGGCAATAAGAGAAATAATTTGCATACATGGTAAGAATCAGCCAAAATCAAAATATGGGAAATCCTGTGGGTAAAGTGATCCAATTTCATCAATAGGTAAGTGGCTTGACAAAAGGGGGTATTGTTCTAAATTAAGAGAGACTTAAGAAGTATGTCAACTTTGTGTAAAAGGCAGTTGTGAACTTTGAATCCTGTCTTGAAAAACAGTGAAAAAAAAAAAAGGATAGCCAGGACTTCAACTCAGATCTGGAACAAGTAAACTCAATAAATATTTATAGAGTTCTCCATTTTAAATACACAAAATATTGATCTGCCATTATTAATACCCATTTTTAGAATGAAGCAATATTCCTGTTCTCTCTCCCTCTTTTTCTTCCTCTTTCTTCCTCTCCTTCTCTCCTTTTTTTACTTTTTAACATTCTACTTCCTCACCTCTACTCAATACATTCCTTAAAAAAAAAAAAAAAAAGGTAAATTTTTTGAGACGACAGGAAAAAATTTTAAGGGATTATTAACAGGACTGAGATAATGGTATTTGGGTTTTTTTTAACGTTATCTTTTACGGAAGCATAATGAAGTCTTTACGGACTAAGTGGTATGCTGTCTAAGATTTCTTTTAAAGTATTCTAGCAAAATAAAGAAAAAAGAGGAGGCTTCCACTACCAGGAAGATGGGGTAGATGGGGTGAGGCAGGAGGAAATGGACGTGGCTCTGACGAGGGACAGCAGCAGGGAGGCTTGTGGGGATAGAATGTTCTGTATCTTGACTGCATCAAGGTCAATATCCTGGTTGTGATTTTGTACTACAATACTGAGGGGAAACTTTAGAAGGGTGCGAGTGATTCCTCAGTAGTACTTCTTACAGCTGCATGTGAATCTCGAAAGGAAAAGATTAATTCATAAAACAAAAATAGGATGTGGCAGTAGATAGATGAAAAACAATGGCAGAAAAGTTGGTGGCTATAGGATTCGTTATAATCTTTTCTCTTTCTTCATTTGCTTGAAAATTTCCATAACAAAAAGGGTTTTTAACATTTAGAGAAGTAAACTTCGCCCTACACACTGGTACTATCTCTGATTTTCCTAACTGGTGTGTCCGCAGACTTCCAATTCCCACACCACTAGGTTATTCCACACACTCTGGCTAGCTGTTTCTTTCTAAAATACTATTTTCTTTTACTCTATCACTCCTTTGCTTAAAAGGAACTCTGCTACTTCAGGATAAATTTCACAGTTATAAAAAAAAAAAAAAAAAAAAAACCCTTCCTCCACAGTCAGGCCTGAGCAACTGTGTGTTCACCTCCTATCTACTCTCTGCATAAACGCTGCACTTCAGTTAAATTAGACTCACAATTTCATGGATATAATTTGGGACACAGTACCCGTGCCTGTATGCCATTCTCCTGCCTGCTACTCTCTCTCTTTCTCCTCCACAGACCTAAATATCACCCATTTTTACAAAGCAAAACAAAACTCATCTTCTTAATGAAGCTCCCCCTTTACAATAAGATTCTTAAGAGTAAGGATCATGTATTGTATTACAATGACTACTAGCCTTCCTCATACAATCGAGGTTTTCAATGGAAAGCTGTGGATTTAACTGAATGAATGTTTAATATAAAGCCTTGGAGAGATTACAGAATTTTAGAAAAAAAATTAAAATAGAAATGTTAAAGAGATTTAAAAATAAAAACTGGAATTCAGTACACTGAATTTCAAATAGCAATACTATATTTAATTTGTTTTGTCACCCTGGGTAGCTCATTTAACATATCTTGGCATTTGGTTCTAAAATATAAAATGAAGCACTAGGCTCCTCATTTTTTAATATGTAGATACTATACTTGCCTCTGGAAAAAAATATCCCAAGGGTTTCCATAAACTATAATTTTATTCCTAAACATTACTCATCAACAGAGGCTAAACTTTATATAAAACACACAAAGCAAAACAGTATCGCTGATCCACCAGTTTTTAAATAAACCTGAGTCAACGAGAATGAATTACATGATGAGCCTGGAGACCACAGGCAATAGGAACACCATATCATTTAAAGGTACTGAATTTGACAAGTATTTCCTAAAGCGTCTGTACCCTAAGTGAGGTACAGTCTCTCTTCCCATAGCATTAAAAATCTGCCATCTTAGAACTTGAAGATAACTGTCAAGGATGTACAGTACAAAGGCAGAAACATTTTATTTCAAAGATTATGACCTTGTTAAGAAACTACTAAGGTTTCCCTGAATACTGAAACAGAGACTCACAAGGACAGGAAGTGCACTGGGGAGAACACAGAAAGAGATTAGATATTAAGAGAATAAAATTTACTTTCCCTTAAGAAAAGAATGTTGCTCTAAGCAGGCCTGTGTATTCAGGAAGGTCATGACTCACAGTCTGCCTTCCAGGTTGGAAGTGGCAGGAATCTTAACCAAACCATGAAGCCTGTACAGTTTGCCCTCACATTGACTCTCTGAAAATGCACAGGCTGGAAGGGAACACAGTTGTATAAGAATCAGCTATACCTACCACTAGTACTCAGTGAAACTTGGGAGAGCACCTATCAACGAGAATATCATTAGCACATGAGTGAGGAGACAACATTCCTGCTCTAGAACTTTGATTTCATTAGGATGGGAGGCTGGTTCCATGAGAGAGCCCAGTGCGGGAAAGAGATGGGTCAATGGGACGAACTGTGGAAGCTAAGCATAGGGCCTTGGGAATGAGTGAACAGAGGTCATAGAACCCAAAGACTAGTCTGGGGAGAAAAGCAAGAAGCAGCAGTTCATTTTTCTCAGCACCGGCCCAGCAGCACCAGAGTCCTGGCAGTTACCTGAGGTTTCTTCACCTTAATGATCCAAGTGGGCGGGACAATAACAGCAGCATGAGCCCCCAGGGAGCAGGGTTCCTCAATGTGATGCAGCATGAAGCAGGTCACCTTATTGTGAAACTGAAGAGAAAAATAGGCCAGTAAACAATTCTGGTCAAAGAGAAATGCTGCGGCAAGAAGGAATAAATATGCGTACACGCGCACACACACACGCACTCATTGCATGCACAGAAACACATATGCATGCACACATGCACGACAGGCACGTACACAATGAGGACATGCTTTCCTCATCACCACCCAGCCCACCCCAGGAGCTTAGAGTCCAGACTTCGAATTTATTCCGGTTTACAAACTTGTAACGTTGATAACAAGAAATCGGGCTAGCAGGATGAAGCCCGCTAAAACTTTCTAATTGTTGAATGGAATATTTACATAAAAGTGTTAGACTTGGAGGGTTCTATTAATCCTGATTTCACACAAAGTTTTCGCACATATTTCCCTTGACCTGTACTAGCCATGGATTTGGTTGAATTAAGGTAATGCTGAGAAGGAAGTGACCAGGCAGAGAGGCAATGCCTACCACCTGCCCTTCCTTTTCCTATTATAGGTACAAATCCTCCCAGGTTGTCTTTCCAGTTTAGAGAAGGCAGAAGAGAAGCATGATGTCTCTTCTACAGAGCTGAAAATCCCAGAGGTAACAAAGTACAAAGAAATTGCTTCTGTTGGGTTTGTCTAGGGCTGCTAAAAAAAAAAAAAAAATACAATGAGCCTATTACTCTTGGCAAGTCTAAAGTGATTTTTTTCTTTTGAAAGGAAGTGAATGTAGGCTAGCAATGAACAATACCACAGTATTAGGCTCTTAACTCTAAATCCCAACAGTGACACTCGGACTGGTAACCACAGACCAGTCAAGTTTTCAACCATCTTTTGTGTGACTGTAAAGTGACAGTGATGGGCAATAACACTCATTTTCCTAAAAAAGGAAACTAAAATCAACATTACACAATAATTATAGGCTTTAGTTTTAATCATAGTGATTTTTAAAAATGTCACCTCAGTTTGTTATTAGATTATACTTCACATAACTATATAATTCATCATTTTAACTGGAGCAATTTTAAAAGCAAAAGTATCACTGATAATCATCACATTGAAACAACAAACACAAATTAGGACTGTCTCAAAAAAACTGGCAAATACGGCCACCCTAATTTCATTACATAACATTAGAGAGATTTTTGTTTTCATTTCTGCATGTCTTCAAGATCTGCTGTGATCTAGTGGCTAATTATCAATCAAGCAATTGTGTATAAAATAAAATAATTAATAATTCTGCCTGCCACCAGTTATTTGTGTTCCGCAAACAAATATACCAGAAAATGTTATTAACATTTGAATACTTTTTTTTTTTTTTTTTTTTTTTTTTTTTTTTGACAGAGTCTCGCTCTGTCGCCAGGCGCCAGGCTGGAGCGCAATGATGTGATCTCAGCTCACTGCAACCTCTGCCTCCCGGGTTCAAGCAATTCTCCTGCCTCAGCCTCTTGGGTAGCTGGGACTACAGGCTCATACCACCACGCCCAGCTACTTTTTTGGTATTTTTAGTAGAGATGGGGTTTCACCATGTTGCTGAGGATGGTCTCGATCTCTTGACCTCATGATCCGCCCGCCTCTGCCTCCCAAAGTACTGGGATTACAGGCTTGAGCCACCGCGCCTGACCTGAATACCTTTTTAAAAAATTGCTCTTCTTTTCTTTTCTTGGCAATTCAAATAAACTCTCAAATGCATGACCACTGCCTTTCTAAAATGTTTGGGATCAAGGAGACTGCCTATGTCAAGTCTCTCAATGTATATTTGAGTGATCTCAACTCTAGAGACTCAGAGGTACATCCAAGATTGCATAGCTTTTAAATGGTGGAATCAAAACCCCAACCCAGGAAACCCAGGTCCCAAAATATTCTTTCTCCTGCACCATTAAGGGTCACTTATTTGCTTCTTGTTGGACATCAAATGTCCTAGAAGCAGTTGACCTGGACTGTTAAAACATATCACCACTGTAATTTGTGTTCAAATCTTTTGTATCTATCTTCCCTGCAAAAATCACCTTCCACAATGTGGGAAATGGGGAAATTCAAAGATAGGTGGAACTGACCAAAGCTGTACCACCACGGTCAGGTGAAAGCTGTCCTTTGTCATGATTCAGTGGACTATAGGTTAACAGAAAGAGCACACATGCTCAAGTGGAATTGAGTTTCCAAAATAATTGAACCTGGAGAGACCATCTCACCACAGCCTGGTGGCTGCATCTGCTCCTGCCTTGTGCAGACCACTGCCCAGGTCTAGCACACCACTGCCCAGGAGGCTGCCCCACCAGATTAGAAGAACCAGGAGCAAAGGTAGTAGCACTGGGGAACCCTGGATTGCAAAATGAAGATATTGCCTTGATGGTACAGAGTTTCATTCAAGAACTAAGATGGCCTTATATTTGTGCACACATTCCTGAATAGATGCGCAATTATTATTTGTTTAACAACTAACTGAAAGTAAAGGAAAATGCCAGGAATAAAAAATACGTCAGGACCGTGATGCAGCAACACTGAGCTTTCCAGACCACCACACTTCTAGCTAGTGACAGCAGGTTCTTCTGACATGTAGGGGGTAGGAATATTATTAGATTAAACTGCATCAACTGCCAACTTTTAAATGGTTTTCACCATGAAATGTCAATTTCATATGTTTCAACTAAATGAGTCTGTGCCAGCCCTATGGCCTGTGTGGCTAGTTTAGCATGATGTGCGTAGTGGCATGAGTTTTCTGCAAACCTTTAACCTCACCAAAACACCACAGCCTTTTCTTTGCAGGTCCCCTGTGCAAGGAAGGGATTATATATTCTAACTTATTCAAAAGAATAGGGAGATTGAAAGATTATAGCAGGCATCAGCAAACTTTTTCTATAAACGCACAAGGAGTCATTTTTTTTTTTTTTTTTTTTTTTTTGAGGTGGAGTTTTGTTCATTACCCAGGCTGGAGTGCAATGGCGCAATCTCGGCTCACTGCAACCTCCGCCTCCTGGGTTCAAACAATTCTCCTGCCTCAGCCTCCTGAGTAGATGGGACTGTAGGTATGTGCCACCATGCCCAGCCAATTTTTCTGTATTTTTAGTAGAGACGGGGTTTCACCATGTTGACCAGGATGGTCTCGATCTCTTGACCTCGTGATCCACCCAAAGTGATCCAATCGGCCTCCCAAAGTGCTGGGATTATAGGCGTGAGCCACCGCGCCTGGCCAAAGAGTAAATATTTTAAGCTTATGGGACCATCAGCCTCTGTTGCAGTTACTCAACTTTGCCACTGTAGCATGGAAGCACCTGTAGACAATATATAAATGCAAAAACAGCCACAGACAATATAGAAGTAACTGGGCATGGCTGCATTCCAAAGAAACTTTATTTACAAAAATAGATGGCAGCCAGGCTTGACCTATGAGCTGTAGTCTGCCAACACCAGGGTTATCTGGTAAAAGATATACGTTATCTGGTAAAAGAAAGAATGGGTACACTGGCAAACAAATAAGAAAACATAGCATCTGGTAGAGACAGAGGAATTAGGCTCTAGATAAAGTGGGGGGAAAAAGGTAGATGAAGAAAAGTAAATAGGGGCATTACCATCAGATCCTAATGAATATATATGTTCAAATGTGAGAAAGAGCTACATTTCAACGAGCATACGGACAACATCCAAACCTAAAAAAGCATACAAGAACCACTCTTCTTATCCTCACACTTAGCCCCAAAAATAAAAATTCACACATATTAAAACCAGAAGAACCAGGATTCCTGTCCACCTGCGTTGGAGGGACACCTCTTAGGTCGTACATGTCTTTGCTTCTAATGTTGCACCTTCCTACCATAGGAGGAGCTCTCAACAATACAGAGTCATGGGGTCGGGGGGTGATGTGATCTAGGAGTGAGATGCCCTCAATTCTAATCCCAGTATTAGAATTAGGGGAGGATTTTCTAGTCTTTGACTCCAAGCCTCAATGTATATAAAATACAGAAGTTAATTTATCTCTCTAGTGTATCCCAGCTCATCTATACTATTGTTCCAGATTTTCAGTTTGTCTTTCTTCCTCCTATATGAAAGGACCCTATATGAAAAAACAATACATTAAATTAGGAATGCCTTCTACTTACCGGCAGAACTCAAGTAATGACATAAGCATATTTTGACAAAACGTGAGCCATTGCTTTATTTCATCTCAAACTTACCGCCTGCTTGCACCAGGAACAGCTGATAGCCACAATCTCTTTACTGTGGAAGGAGAACTTTTGCTGGAAGCCCTGGGATATTAGGACAAGAGACAGAGAATTTGAAACCACCTCAGTTACAGCACACATTTGCCCTCCTGAAGTTCAGTGAAGTGACTAAGGCCAGAACTGTCACTGAAGGTGAGGAGAACTGCAAATGCCACATGGAGCACCACACTCTCCACTTTCTGCCTGCAGTGACTATCTATGCCTGAAGCATTTTGAGTGTAAGAGAGAAGAGGTGCTGGTATTTCTTAGACCCCAAACTACTCAAAGTTGGCCACACCAAAAAAAAGCTTTATGAAAAAATAAATGTAGTTCTGATATATTTTTATTATAAGCAAAAGAAAAGCCACTACTGGTTCACATGGTCCTGTATAACAATAATCATTCATCTCAGAGGCGCTGTACAACTTTATCACCTAAGAACCCAGAAAAAAAGAAATGAAATATCAGACACAATAACCAGAAGTCAGGGTCTGGGAGAAGTCCAAGGGTATAGTAGTAAATCCAGCCACTTTCATAAGCCCCTTGAGATGTCTGCACTCAAAACAAGCAGCTTTTAATGTTTATTCTTCATCAGGAAGCAGCAGTGAAATCAATGAAATGGTAAACCCAATCCTCTTAAAGGAACAAGCTGAATTACTTTTCCATCAAGAACAGAGGAGGTGATTTTGGCTGCTGCTCTCCCTAAACAATGGCCAGAGAGAAGTATGTAGTATTGCTCAAAGAATTTTTTTAGCCTTCCCAAAGCTCATCCGTTTCCCTCTGCCTGTGAAATTTAAACCCAAACAGAAATTTCAAAGCAACCAGAAAAAATGTTAAAATGGAGCTTTGGCAAGGTGATCAAAAGAAAACAGAAAGATGTAATAGCCAGGAAAGCTATCAATAGCACTGGCTAAATAAGCCTTGCTTAAGGTGTACAGAAAATTTTAAGTTGAAAATCAATTACCACATTATTAAATGATGTCCCAGTGGCATTTTTCAGTGCCCATAATCCTTGCCCATAATCTGCAGTACTTTGTATGCCACTGGGCATTTTCTCCTTTCGAACCTCTCTTCTCTCTTGATTTCCTAATACAACATTCCAGTCATCTGTATGTGCACAGAAGACCAGGACTGGATTCACTAATTTTGCTCCAACCTCAAATACCACTTTCAGAGACATGACGTTAACATTAGACTCTCCTGGGTTTTAAAAAATGTATCCATCAATACCTCCTTCTCAAAAACCTAAGTGATATTTTTACTTTCTCTGCAGAAAAAAGTTAACATAGCAAGCCTGAGACTCCTTAGAAAGGCTGCTTGCAGCTGGGGGCAATGGCTCACACCTTTAATCCCAGCACTTTGGGAGGCTGAAACAGGAGGATCGCCTGAGGTCAGGGGTTCAAAACCAGCCTGGCCAATATGGTGAAATCCCATCTCTACTAAAAATACAAAACTTAGCTAGGTGTGGTGGCACGTGCCTATAATCCCAGCTACTCAGGAGGCTGAGTCAGGAGAATCGCTTGAACCCGGGAGATGGAAGTGACAGTGACCCGAGATTGTGCAACGGCCCTCCAGCCTGGCTGATAGAGCAAGATTCAGTCTCAAAAAATAATAATAATTTAAAAATACAGAGAAAAGAAAAGCTGCTTGCAAGGTTTGTCCTTGGTTGGCATCTGGGAACCTGGATTTCAGGAGGGTTCCCCAATTCCCAGCACAGTTAAGAGTGTCTCACTGGGCCTAAACTGCACAGGCTGAGCACAGCGCCTCATGCCTGTAATTCCAGCACTTTGGGATGCTGAGGTAGGCGGTTTGTTTGAGGCCAGGAGTTTGTGACAGGCCTACACAACATAGTAAGACCTTGTCTCTATATTAAAAATTTTAAAAAAAAAGAAACTTTTTGCACAACAATGTAGTTTATGCTGAGTATCTGCTGTCCTTCTGGAAGTCCGGAATTTTATTATGTGCAATTCAGAGGGTGCTTATGTGAAAAGACCTCAATAAAAACCCTGGACACTGAGTCTCTAATTCGACAGGTAGACGATTTAAGAATATTCCGTCAACATGTGTGTCACAGTACATTGCTGGAGGAATTAAGTGCATCCTGTGTGACTCTGCTGGGAGAGAACTCTTAGAAGCCTGTGCCTGGCTTCCTCCAGACTTTGCTCCAAAATCACAGGCTTTGCTGATTTTACTTTGTATCTTGGTGTTGTAATAAACTATAGATGTTAGCACTAGAGGCTGAGTCCTGTGAGTCCTCCTAGTGAATCACTGAACCTGGGGTGGTCTTAAGGACCCCTGATATGCTCCTCTCCTCCCAGATAACGACTCTTGCTATTTCTTATTCTGTCAATGACAGTATCTTTTCTCCAAGAGAAAAGTGCGTGTGACACACACACATGGACTTCAGCACTGCATCAGGTTTGATGTCCATGTGTTTACTACTGCAGGGTCAGCAACAGCCCCCACAGCCCTCAGCACCTGAGAGTTGCAACTGCCTAACGGGAAGAGCTTACAAGAGGATACAGAGTCTAGGAGGCCAAAGGGTTAAGTATGCAGGTCTTTTCAAAGATGATGCCAAACTGTTCGATATAAGATGGCACCAAAACTGCAGAAATGACTTCACATTGCAGCCGTTTGAAAACGTCCTCATTATCCCCCAAGCCATTTTTCAGAGAACAAAAAAAGAGATAAATAAAACTCCTCTTTAGAGCTACAGCTACACTTTGTGGCTCCTGTGTGAAGAAAGAAAAGAGCAGCACAAGCTAGGGTATGACCCAAGTGTCTTGTCCAGCTCAGTATTACACTCTGCTGACAGTTACCTCCCATATGGATTTTTGCTCCACTTTCTAACTTGTCCCTTCACTGATAGTCTGTTTCTCCCTTTAGTCCTCACTCTATCCTGGGCACTGCCACCAGGTAAAATGGTGCTTTCTAAGTTTCTGCCTCCCATTCAAAATACTTAAATGACATTTCTTTCCTTACAGATTAACAGAATAAAGTCTTCATGCCACCCATAATCTTCCCATCAATTTTTCAACATCTGTCTTCCACTCCTTTGTATTATAAATTCCTGTCCATAATGAGACATATCTGCTTATGTGCACCATATGCTTTATTCTTTTATAGTTTTAATTAATTTATTTATTTTTGGCTCTTTCCTCATTCTCAACATACCTTCTAGAAACTTACCGCCATTTCATAAGCAGTATCTAAATTTTGCTTCTGCTAAAAAATCTACAAGAGTCTTCCAAAATCCCCTCAACAGGCCTTGCCATCTGTATCTACCCTTGCCATTGTAAATTAGCTGCTTGTTTTGTGTGCACATGTGTTATCTCTCCAACAGAATTATAAGCTCTTTGAAGGGAGTCAGTCCTTGTATAGTTCTTAGCAACTTGGCACAGTTCTTTGAACATCATAGGCACCTCATGATATTTTCTAATTAATTGAACAAAAAGTTGTTGCTACTCTCTCATGATCTAATTACAAACTTCATGCTATTCAGACATTATAAGCCTTACCCAAGCCACCTGAAAATACGTCTCCTCACAGCATCCTTCCAGGCAAAAAAACTAACCCCTACAGGCCGGGCACGGTGACTCGTGCCTGTCATCCCAGCACTTTGGGAGGCTGAGGTGTGCTGATCACAAGGTCAGGAGTTCAAGACCAGCCTGGCCAATATGGTGAAAACCCGTCTCTACTAAAAATACAAAAATTAGCTTGGAAGGCTGAGGCAGAAGAATCACTTGAACCCGGGAGGCAGGGGTTGCAGTAAGCTGAGATCGCACCACTGCATTCCAACCTGAGCAACAGAGTGAGACTCTGTCTGAAAACAAAACAAAACACCTAAACCCTACAGACACTGCAGAGATGGTAGGATTGTATTATTCATTTTTAAGTCTACAATATTGAAATGCTGTATGGCTATAAATCAACACAGTAGAATTCATGGCATGACAGCAGTAGCAGCCACAACTAGAGGTCTGCTACATGTTATAGTTTTAAATGTATAATTGTAAGTCTCAAATGCAGGACACCATTCCCTCCACTTAGTTATCAGATGGCTGTGCATCAAACAGAAGCTGAGGAGAGATGGCATAGCTCAGAATCGTTCTTGGGTCTTCTTGTTGGCTCAGTGATCTTAGGCAAATCGCTTAACTCTTCTAACTTCCTCTTTCATGTGAAAATGGGAATAATAATACAAACCTCTCCTATAATACTAAGTGGTTATAAGCATCAAATGAGGCCATGCATTTAAGTCTTTATAACACTTTACTTATTTATGTATTTAATGTGTTTTTATATAAAACTAAGGAGTACTTTTATTGCCAAGATCTATCAACAGGAACCTCTTCTGCCATCTTGCTGAGGAAGCTTTCTAGTGTCTAATATGTAACTACATGATGCTCTACTAATGATACTGGGTGAGTGCATTCAGCCCCACCTCACTACTAAATATTAGCCGTCAGGCTTGCAGGAGAGAACAGATACAACCCACTGTGGTATTGACAGGCAGAGCAATACCAGAAACAAACAACAAGGGCAATCACAATTGGGGCGCCGGGTGCTATGCTTATGCAGTATTGTGGTGGGACCCTGGGCAACGAGCCTGGGGGTAATCAACTCTGTGCTTTGGTTTGGATTCTGGTCTCACAGACTCACAGCAACCATGGCTTCAGGCTTATCATCTCATGCAGAGACATAAATAGAAGCACATCAGAGCCTTCATGGACCAAGTTCCCATAAACCACCTGCTATGGGAAGACATCGGCCAGGCTCTCAGCATGCCAAAAGAACCAGATTCCAAATTACTCATTTTTAAATGTTGGCCCAAATCTGCTATTGTGGTACTGACAGATGCCCTGACTGAAGTTCAACTGATTCTATGATTTTTTAAGAGCTGTTTAGTTCAGCACTGTCAAAGAGGAAAATAGGGATGGGAGGCCAGATGCTTTGGATCCAACTGACTGCAGAATTAAAAATACCAAGAACATTGAGGAATAAGGTCATTTTTGTGTTCTTTGAGATGTTTCAATCAAATTGAGCCT